ACACACGTCCATGTTCCAGGTAGGACAGTCAGCGTCAAACCTGCAGCACTTCTGTTATCGACATAGTTAACTGTTTTATTACTGACTGTTTTATTACTGACTGTTTTATTACCGATTGTTATATTACTGACCGTTTTATTACTGACTGTTTTGTTACTGACTGTTTTATTACAGACTGTTTTATTGCAGAGTGTTTTATTGCTGACTGTTTTATTGCAGACTGTTTTATTTCTGACTGTTTTATTGCTGACTGTTTTGTTACTGAATGTTTTATTGCAGACTGTTTTATTACTGAATGTTTTATTGCAGACTGTTTTGTTACTGAATGTTTTATTGCAGACCATTTTATTACTGACTGTTTTATTGCTGACTGTTTTATTGCTGACTGTTTTATTACTGACTGTTTTATTACTGGATGTTTTATTACTGAGTGTTTTGTTACTGACTGTTTTATTGCAGACTGTTTTATTGCAGACTGTTTTATTACTGACTGCTTTATTACTGAATGTTTTATTGCAGACTGTTTTGTTACTGAATGTTTTATTATCGACTGTTTTATTACTGAGTGTTTTGTTACTGACTGTTTTATTACAGACTGTTTTGTTACTGACTGTTTTATTACTGACTGTTTTATTACCGACTGTTTTATTACTGACTGTTTTATTGCAGACTGTTTTGTTACTGAATGTTTTATTGCAGACTGTTTTATTACTGAATGTTTTGTTACTGACTGTTTTATTACAGACTGTTTTATTGCAGAGTGTTTTATTGCTGACTGTTTTATTTCTGACTGTTTTATTGCTGACTGTTTTGTTACTGAATGTTTTATTGCAGACTGTTTTATTACTGAATGTTTTATTGCAGACTGTTTTGTTACTGAATGTTTTATTGCAGACCATTTTATTACTGACTGTTTTATTGCTGACTGTTTTATTGCTGACTGTTTTATTGCTGGATGTTTTATTGCAGACTGTTTTGTTACTGAATGTTTTATTACAGACTGTTTTGTTACTGAGTGTTTTATTGCAGACTGTTTTATTACTGAATGTTTTATTGCAGACTGTTTTATTGCAGACTGTTTTATTACTGAATGTTTTATTACTGAATATTTTGTTACTGAATATTTTATTACAGACTGTTTTGTTACTGAGTGTTTTATTACTGACTGTTTTGTTACTGACTGTTTTGTTACTGACTGTGTTTCAGACCAGTTCTTCATTGTCCAGTGTAAAAACTCAGTTCCTGTCATCTTGGCTGTAGTTCTGTGTTTCATCCTGATTGTTGCTGTTGTCGTTGTTTTTATCTGGAGATGGAGACAAAGAAAAGTTTGTGAGTTTAATCTTTTTATTTATTTCAAGAAATAATCTGTTTTGTTTTAATTCACTGACATAAAACTAAACTGCTCCAACTTCCTGTTTCTGCAGCAACAGAGAAACAAGCAGAGAATAAAAATGAAGAGCAAGGACACCTGATGGATGAAGAAAGGTCTAAACTTGAGGAGGAGTTACTGAGGATTAAGATTAAAGATGAGGAACATTTGAAACACAACTTTGATGTTTTCATGAAGATAAAAGAAAAACTGGAGGAGCTGAAAAAACAACTCACTGTCCTCAGTAAGGAGGAAGAGAAAGAGTTTGAAGAGAATGAGAAGATGTTTAAGGAAGTCGAGTTTAAAATTAAAAACTCGATGGGAGCTGTTCTCATTAATGCAGAAGATCATGTAAAACTGAAAGAGTTCATGAATCAGCACATCAACAAACTGGAAGAGAGAAAGAGAAAACATGAAGTGCTGGATCTGAACACAGATCAGTTAATTCACAAAGTGAGAGGAGAAATTATTATGATGGAGGGAAAGAAACCGGAGCAGAGAAAAATGAAAGAAACTGACGAACAATTAAAAAAGAGTGAAACAGAAGAAAACATTTAACTGAACATGACAGTAATAATCTGTTCTTTAAATAATCTGTTCTTTAAATAATCTGTTCTTTAAATAATCTGTTCTTTAAAATAATCTGTTCTTTAAATAATCTGTTCTTTAAAATAATCTGTT